ATGCAATATCCTTAACTATACTTCACATCAAGTTAGTTTTCTTTATCATCTTGTCTATATACTTCAACTATATTTAGATGAAATAATGTAAGTATGAAGTAACTATAACCATAATTATATAAATCATACAATATTAATCATAGTTTATTATCATATAATGTAAACCACCATATGATGTTCATTAAAATGCTATACATATAATGAGATGTCGATTCAAATATTACTATAAGAAATAATATATTGAGGGAGAAAATTTGACTGCCCCTTTTTATGCTATGTGACTGAATATCACATTAGTAGTAGACATTTGTTTTACAAAATGGGTAAATTTTTTATGTGTTATTCTAATTATTAAATATGTTGCATATTAATTAATAGTTAATTCAACATTTAATAATTAACTAATAATACTATATAACTATTATAATTTTAATAATAAAATTATTATTTGGATTGATATTTTTTAAAATATATAATTATATACTGACTCTGTTTCAGCCAGTATTCTTATATAATAATTATAATTATTATATAATTATATAATTACTATATAATTATATACTGACTCTGTTTCAGCCAGTATTCTTATATAATAATTATAATTATTATATAAATATATAATTACTATATAATTATATACTGACTCTGTTTCAGCTAGTATTCTTTCAAAATATTATCTATTTTTCCTTCCCATATTATGGTGCACATGATCTTTTAGATATATTTCAGATATTATATTTGGCATTTGAGCCACATGATCTTCCTATATTATTATTAGAGGAATAACAGATGTCTCCACATAAGGAGTTCTTTCCGATGCTAGGTTTGATGGACTTTGAGTCTCTTCTTTTATTATGGATATATTATCTTGTTGTGAAGCCATGGTTAAGGACGATGAAGAAGTGGCTTTAGCCAACATTTTATTTGGACTATGGATTAGTGTCTTTTGGGATTTTGCATAATTTTATGCTTCTTTCTGTCTCAGTAAAAATTCTCGAGTCAAGAAGTCAAGCAAATAATTTGATGCTCCTTTTATATGTTCGATATCAAAATAAAAAATCGAGAGAATCGCTTGCCATCTTGCAAAAATTTGTTTTTAAGCTAAGATTTTCACATCCTTTTTTAAAATCTCCTTAACAGACTTGCTATCAGTCCGTACCAAAAACAATTTATTAAGAAGGTTACTTTCAAATTAGTAATACAATGTACAATAGCCAATACTTTTTCTTGACTGTAGAATAATTCTGTTGTGCAGGATTCCATGCTATTGGCGTGAATCTTATCATTTCTTAATTGCCTTAGTATGTTTATTTGACCACCTTGGTGGGTTCTTATTTAGCCGTTGAAATAAAAGCTTGCAATCTAAGGCTAAATATTTGTAATAATATGAGACATAATTTAAGTTGCCTAAGATGAAGTTGTCTTACACTTTCTCCCTTATTAAACACAAGTTCTATCCTAGAAACTTGTTTTCCTAAGCATTTTAAATATAGGTTCATATAATTGTTTGTGTTCAATTACATGGTTTATGCTTTCTATTGTTGCAGTTTGATTCATTCCTTTTGGTTCCGGTTTGTAAGGAACAACTTTTACTCATTTAATATCTAGGGGCATCTCAGAAGGATGGACAACATGAATATCCTTGCCATCTCTAGTGGAAAAAACTTGGAATTCTTTTTTTACCATATTTATTTCTTTATTGAAATTATGAATCTGAATTCCTTAATCTTTTAAGAAATATTTTAACTATTCAAAGAATTTTATATTAATTCTTTGTTCCTATATAAATTTTATAATTTTTTAATAGAACTTGTGTCTGAGTTTTTTGCTAAATTCATTACAGGACTATCTTCTTATTTCTTTATTTTCTTCAGAATAAAAATCATCTTTTATAGCCCTTCTATCCATTTCAAATGCTTTTTCTTTACTTAATACATTCAGGTCAAATATCATATATGAAAAAGTAGGACTAGTAGGATTTATAAGTTCTTCTTGGCATCTTGAGGATCTAGGTGTTTCTACTCTATGAAAGGGTCTCTGGACTTGCTCTTGGGTAATCTTAATCCCTTCCAAAATTATTCTTTCATGATCTTTTTCATGCTCATTTTGAGGAATAGATGAGCATTACACCCTAGAGGTAATTTTGATATGGTTATCAACTATATTTATTCTAGCTTTTTTTAATGGGTTAACTGGATATCAATTTCTCCATTTTCATATTCAATTATTTGTTCAACTTCCTTATTTTCAAAAGGTATTGGTTGAACCTCATTATGAAGGTTCCATCTATCGGGCAATCTGATCTCATTCTAGGAAATAATCATGGGGTAATTAAATTATATTTTCCTATATTAGTTTGGAAAAATACTGTTCGCCCTTTTTCATCTACTCTTTTAACATCTGGGTAGGGTGTAGTCATAGCCGTATAGCATATTCTATAGACTATAACTAGATTTTGGGATCCTACAATGTAATTTTAATAGGGCCTTTTTGTCAAAAAAATATATTATATTATAAAAAAATTCGATTCTCTCTCTCTCTCTCATAAATTTACTCCGGCAAACCTAAAAATATCCTCGACCCTAAGTCCTTGCTGGCCCTTAATATTTACTCTCTCTAAAAATTAACCTTTAGAAGTTTGTACCTTACTACCAATGTTATCAAACTACCAATGTTATCAAATTCGCTTCGCTTCAGTCGAAGAGGCCAAAGCCTTCGGATTTTAAGCATAAACCGAAGTGAAGAGAAGCGTGGTATTGCCACTTCGGTCAGATTTGAGCTGCTTCGATAAGAAAAGAAACGCCTATATAAAAGTATTTTTTTATTATTATTTTTAATTTTTTCTATTATTTTTATATATTTTATATATAAATATCTAAATTATTTATATTAAATTTCAAAAAAAAGTCTGAAGTTTTCTTCCGATAGGCCGAAACACCACATTACGTCATTTTTCTTATCAAACCGAAAAAAACTCCGAAACGAATCTGACAACATTGCTTACTACCCTCCCTACAATATATCGTTTTCAATGATACCACTCAATTCTCTGGCTTCCCATCAGATACCCATTGAATTGCAATCATCCATTTATCCTCTTTTTCTCTCCTAACAGCCCCTTTCTCTCTTTGGCTACCTCTTGCTCTCAGTTCACTTAGGACTGCCAACCCTTTGTCCACCGCTCCCAACAAAAGGTAAATCCCTCCATTTGTGAATGACCCTTGAAATCCGTATACTATAATATGTTATTACTTTGTGATCAAATTACGAATTATATGATTTAAAACATAATACTTTTCATTTTTAATTTCGGTCTCATATTATACAATTTCTATTAAAAAATATAACATCTTTTATACCAATAAATTTAAGTAAAATTCTCAAAATTAAGTTACTATTGTATCTATAGATGCATAAGATAATTTCTCAAACATAAAAAAATAAAAAGTAGGATTTCTATAAGGTTGCAATCTTAAACAATCCAATTAAAGCACATCTTCAAATTATATCATAACGTGTAATTTTAGTGTAAAAAGTTCTTAGGATTATCTGAAAGTCTAATTTTAAACTAATTATATAATTTTAAACTCTAAAAATAGTTAAAATCAAATAGATCAAATAACATGTGAAAATCTTGAAAATGTGTTGCAAGATGCACTTTTGTGAGGACTCAAAATCTTTTTTTTTTTTCATATTCATACATCAAGATGCCTAGATGATAAATTGGTCGAATTTTTAACATTAAAATAACATTTTTCGAAGGATTTTCGAGGTGCATCTTTACTTCTACATGTCGCAACTTTATATAATTTTTTTCCATATCTGAATTATATACTCAAAACATGTACAGTTGCTCACTAGTATTTTTTAAGGGGGTGGTTTCTATAAGGTTGCAACCTTAAACAATCCAATTAAGGCGCACCTCCAAATTGTATCATGACATATAATTTTGGTGAAAAAATTTATTAGGATTATCTCAAAATCTATTTATATATCTAATTATAAAATTTTAAACTCCAAAAATGGTTTAAATTAAGTAGATCTATGTTAAAATCTTGACAATGGACTATGTAGATAATGTATTGCTGTTATTCCTAATAAAAATAATAATAAATAAATAAAATTGAAAGCGACAAACATGTTACTTGGATTTGTCTTTAAATTACACAAGGGATCTAAGGTTCTATACCAAATCCTATAGACTAAACCATCCGGTGACATGCTACCTTGAGAGTCTTTTTGGTGAATCTCATTTACTTTTTTTCTATCATCGCTATCTTTTTTAGAGGGTTAACCTCTTTTTATAGAAAACACATTTATTTAGTAACTCTCACATTCATCGTATATAGGAGTTGAGATCCAAGTGTAACTTCTACCTTAATTCCCTTAAGTGCAACTAATTATGATTAACAAGTTATCATCGAACTATTAATCATATGTAATGAGCCAAACTTATCATTAGTCCACTAATAACTCATATAATAGGATATCATCCAAACGTTCTTACAATTTACAAAGAATCTAAACTGGGTTTTCCCTCAAGCGATACTAGGTTTTTTCTTCCGATGATATATCTTATTAAAGCTAAAAAAATAGATTCACGTATATGACATTGTCTTATATTAACCACATGGAATTTCACATATACTTCAATATGGTCTTATACTATTATTGAAAAAAATGAATTTTTGGAAGTGAAAGGGCATGATAGGTCACATTTCTAACCAATGCAACATGAACTATTTTAGGACTCAAAATTGTTTTTTCTTTTTTCTATATTCATACAATTAATTAGAAGTTTTTTCAACTTTAAAACAACCTTTTACGATAGATTTTTAAGGTTTTAAGACTCAAAATCGTATGTCTTTTTTTTTTAAAAATCTATATTCATGCTACCAATTAGAAGGTTTTTCAACATTAAAACAACCTTTTACACGTACATTTAAGGTTGCGACCTTATATATAATTTTTCCTTTTTTTTAAAACAAATGTTCCTAGGATTTTCCTGAAATTTTTTCTGGAAAATTTTCAAACATTTGGCCATCCCTTTCTTTTCATTTCCTTTCTCATCGCTCCTCTGGTCTTTCTCATTCTATCTCTATCACTCACTGCACCGAAGCTCCACACTCTTTCTTCTTTTCTTTCACCCCCTCCCTTCATCTCTGAAACTACTCTTCCACTTTTTCTCTCTTTTAAATTTTTTTGCCTCTTTTTACCTTGACCTTTCTTCACGGTTTTTCTCTTTCCAAAGCCATATGTCTGAGGATCTCTTCACTGGTGGTTGTAATCAAGGAGATGGTGGAGGATCGACAATGGTGGTTGGACAACTATCATGTTTCAAAGTGAATGGATGCGAAATGGTGAGTCCCAAACCACCGTTTTCATCTTTGATTTTTTGGTTCATATTTGGAAATATTTTCTTTCCTTGTATGAAATTTACTTTTATTTTTAATTTTTTTCTACATTTCCCCATTCTGGATAAAAGACTTGGAAGAAATTTCACAGGGCAAACCAGAACTTGTGTTGTCTTGAAATAGCTCCACGATGCATTGTGCGTCACTGGGCCCAGTCCTCCTAGTGACGCACCACGCGTCGCTGATAGACTTCCATCCCAGGGTCTCGGGCCTTTCCTTTTCCTTTAATTTTACTTACTTTCTTGTTGCATTTGTAGATTTTTAGCCTATTAAGGGTTTCAAATGTGTTGTCCTGAGTCATTCTTGGGGTCGAGAGTTATATCATTTGCGTAGGTCTTATTTTCACCATCCTTAGGCCTCTCTTGGGATGAGTGGTTTTCTTCATTTACAGTTGTTTTTGTCTTTTGAGGTATTTTCATTTCTCTTGGGGCGAAAGGATTCTAATAGACTCCCTATATGGCTGATATTGCTACCATACCTAAGGGATCCTTGTGGTGGCGCTTATTAAATGTTAATTATTTTAACCCAAGTACTTTTCCAATTCCTTAAGACATTTGCTTAGGCAAATGTATTTTAAACAATGGTTCCTTTCTAGGTGCTGATGCCATCATCCCCCAAGTATTTTCTTGGGGTGATAAATTATTAAATATCCCATCTTGGGACCTGTGCTCATTTCTTCATTTAGCTATTGATAGCCTTATGGTCTTCTTTATCTTTATCTTTTTTCTTTCAGAGATGTTTCTGTAGGGTCTAGGTTTAATCTTTTTAACATTCATTGTTGGGTGAGGCTTTTGACCCCTTAGCCGTTCCAAGCCCTATCTAAGATAGGTTTATGGGATGACTGTGGGATTAGGCCTTTCAATTTAGATTTCCCCCTTATTACTTAGGTTTAGGGTATGCCCATGCAAGTCCTGAGCCACCCTTATAAGTATTTGCTTTGGGGTCTGATTATTGTGGGGTGCTTTTAGGGCAAGAAATTGCGGAAGATTGCTCACGGTTAAAGTTGCACGAACCCCAACCATCCTGACTCCTAAAATCAAGGTGCCCCTCTCAATATTAATTCCAACTCGGGGGTCTTCAAAAATCTGAAATGGTTTTTTTAGGAGTCATGTGCAAGAGGTGTGGCAAAGAGCACGTGTGTGCGTGGGTGCAAAGGTATAGCAAATCACAATTTCAAGCAAACAATGGATAATAATCACATATATTATATATAGATAT